AGGTGTTCTGCAAAGCGGTCCCCGAGTCTCCGCTTGGTTTCCCCGATGTAGAGGAAGCCACACCGGGTACAGCGGATGCAGTATACCACATTGGCAGATGTGCAGGTGAACATCTGCTTGATGTGGAAAGTCTTCTTGGGGCCTGGGATGGGGGTGAGGGAGGAGGTATGGGGGCAGGTGTAGCACTTCCTGCGGTTGCAGGGAAAAGTGCCGGGTGTGGTGGAGCTGGAGGGGAGTGTGGAGCGGAAAAGGGGGTCACGGAGAGAGTTGTCCCTCCGGAAAGCAGATAAGGGTGGGGAGGGAAAGACGTCTTTGGTGGTGGGGTCGGATTGCAGATGGCGGAAGTGTCGGAGGATGATGCGTTGGATCCGGAGGTTGGTGGGGTGGTACGTGAGGACGAGGGGGATTCTTTTTTGGTTCTTATTGCGTGGACGGGGTGTGAGGGATGAGGCGCGGGAGATGTGGGAGACACGGTTGAGGGCGTTCTCGACCACCGAGGAGGGGAAGTTACGGTCCTTGAAAAACGAGGACAACTGAGATGTACGGGAGTGGAATGCCTCATCCTGGGAGCAGATGCGGCGCAATGCCACAACGATGCCACCCGAAGGTTGCAGGAACAGCAACTCATATTCCGATTGGGAACCCTGCAGCCCAATGCTATCAATGTGGATTTCACAAGTTTCAAAATCTCCCCTCCCCCCACCGCATCCCAAAACCAGTCCAGCTCGTCCCTGCCTCCCTAACCTGTTCTTCCTCCCACCTATCCCCTCCTCCCACCTCAAGCCGCACCTCCATCTCCTACCGACCAACCTCATCCCGCCCCCTTGACCTGTCCATCTTCCCCATCCCCTTCCTAACTCCCTACCTACACTCACCTTTACTGGCTCCATCCCCGCCTCTTCAACCTGTTTGTTTCCTCTCCACCTATCCTCTCCTCTATCCCTCTTCTATCCACCTCCCACTCTCTCCCTATTTATTTCAAAACCCCCTTCCCCTCCCCCTATTCTGATGAAGGGTCTCGGCCCGAAACGTCAGCCTCTCTGCTCCTATGATGCTGCTTGGCCTGCTGTGTTCATCCAGCCCTGCACCTTGTTGTCTCGGATTCTCCAGCATCTGCAGTTCCTACTATCTCTGAGATGAATTTAATCTGTTATTGCCACATTTGATCCCGAGATAAGTTTCCCTCCTTTCCGCTATGAAGACAATGTTTGAAACCTCCCTTTTGGTTTCCTTATGTGGCTTGGTGTCATATCTCATTGTTTAGTTGCCAAGAGAGAAACAGTTGCTTTAGTAATTTAAAATATTTTCCCATACTTCAGCGATACTAATTTAACAAAAAAGCACTTTGTCAAGTGGACAAAAGCTAATTTAATGTCCTTTCGACAACTGCAAACGAAGCTTCAAATAATTAAAAACACATTTTGCATAATGGACAAGTTAACCATGTGTTTTGCACCTTATAAGCTTCCGGAAGGCTAACTTGAAATCTTCGTTGAAACTTGTGTACAAGAGAGGGTTAATTAAAGAATTGATGTAGCCCAACCACGCTAAAAAATCAGTAACTACTTGAGAAGCAACCCAAAGGTGCAGTCCCACACAGAGCTCTTTAATGAAAAAGGGCAGCCAGCAGAAAACGAAAGTCCCGAGAATGAGTCCCAGAATGCGAGCTGCGTTCCGCTCCCTTGAGTTGGAGTTCTGCTGGCGCTCTTCCGTGCTCCCCTGCCTGTTTTCGAGTGTTGGAACCCTGCACGTCCGGTGATCACTGTGAAATTTCAGTACAGGTTCACAGCTGTGTAGATTAGATACGCAAAAGGTTTGTGTCAGCTTGTAGTTCATGCAGGTGGAGATTTGGCTTTCACTCTTGCGACCAGTGAAGTGGCGGCTGGAGCCACGCTTCTGGTAAAGGTTCTTGGCTGCATGGTAGATACGGTAGTAAAGGATGAGAATTAAAGCCGATGGAACGTAAAAAGCTCCAAATGTTGAGTAAATGGTATAGATCACATGGTCATGCTGAATAATGCACTTTTCCCCAGTACTGTTAACGTTGTGGCTCCGCCAAAACAGGGGTGGCATGGATATGAAAACAGAAATGGTCCATACAGTCAGTATCATGACTCCTGCACGCTTGGCAGTCCTTTTTGGAGTGTATTCCACGGCATCTGTGATTGCCCAGTATCTGTCCAGGGCAATCACACACAGATGAAGGATTGAGCATGTACAGAATGTCATGTCCAAACTCAGCCATGCCTCACAAACAATGTAACCCAAAACCCAGGCATCGGTGGTAATGTATGTAATACTGATAGGCATTACTAGAATGGCAACAAGGAGGTCAGTCAGAGCTAGGGAACATATGAGATAGTTTGCAGGTTGGTGCAATTTCTTTGTAATACAAATAGCAACCATTACAGCAGAGTTCAACAAAGTTGTCATAATTGCAATCAAAGACAGAATTAAAGCAATGGCAGTCCTTTCAGTAAGTGTTTTGGATTGTCCTTGACATGATTCATTTGTGCAGTTTGAGAAGTTCATTGTTTTAAATGTCCAGAACACAAATGCTTATAATTTCCAAAGCATAGAAGGATTCCACCCTTTTTCTGTCAACTGAAGAGTGAGTTTAATTATTACTTCAAATGTCAAGTTGCAGAATCAAAGTCTTGAGTGTTCATCACAATTTGCCTTTTGTATCACACAGTAATTTCTCTAAAAGAGAGAAGAAAAACAAATTAGTATAAATTTCTTTCTAGACAAAATGGACACTGTTTTCTTGGTGTTTTGATACTCGGTTACCAGTTAAACCTCAACTCTCTTCTCTAACTCTGCCTGACATACTGAGTGCTTTGAAGGTTTTCTGACTTAGCATGACTCCTGACAACAAAGTAGAAAGCATGACTTTGCATGTGCCCTTTGGCAAGTTTTGTGAATTTATGTACATGCAACCCTGTTATCATCAAAGATGCAAAGTCCAGCAGATTGACTTTGTTTGATACAGATCATGCAGTTCTTGTGTACATCTGCAAATGTGCAATGATACCAGAGTGCAGGTATATACCTCCCCTCGTGATAGCATCACCAGAAGTGCATATCTGAACTTAAACTTGGTGACTGTCTCAAATCCTTTTGGCTCATTGTACAAAACGATTATGAGAAATACTGAAAATTATTTAAAGTGTGTGCTAGTGCATTACTGATGTTTTATTCCGTTTATTTACCTACCTGCATTGTACATACTTCCAGACCTTTAAATGCTATTTGTATGAGGTTGCATGGCTTTGGACCTGGTGTCCACCTTTTGCTGTAAAAGTGAATCTTGATGTTCCTTTGCCCCATGTCTGCCAATCTCTTCCACTGCCCGAGTTCCTCTACCTTTAATGGATCTATTTTAGACAAACTGCAAGTTAAAGATTAGTTATTCGTGCTTTCTGCTAAAGCTTAAATATGGCTTCCACTGCTGTCCTTATTTCTTTTGGACCAATCTTAAATCTGTTAATTACCAAAACATTGAGGGTGCTGGAAATCTGAAATAAAATAATCAACAGGTCAAGGTGGAATCTGTGGGGAGAAAAGAAATGAAACTAACTTTTCAGATTTTTCCACAGTGGATTTGAAATCTTAAATGTGCATTTTCTGTTTATTTTTACATTACTGTATATTTATAACTACATTTCACTCATGTTTTTTGGTCAGGAAGTAACTTTATTGGAATGTCTTTCTCTGACGTTTCCAGAATTTTAGTAATCTCCAAATATTAGTGCAGTGATTGTTACCAGAATATTGGGAGCAAAATGTGGCTCTATTCACATGCAGGAACCTGGACAACATTCAGGCTTGGATTGTTAAGTAGCAAACAACATTTGTGCCACAAGTGCTAAGCAACAACAATTATCAACAATACAGAATCTAATAATCACTTCTTGATATTCAAGGTCATGACTGCAGTGATCGCAACAAGGTCAGCCAGGTGAACATCATAGAATGAGTTTCCTGATTGGCTGACAGATATAAACAGGAGTGTCAGGGTGTTTAAGAGCCAACTCTGAACTATCTTGGTCAATAGATGTCTACCTTTCCCTGAGGCACCAAATACTAAAGCCTTTCAAGAGATGACAGATACATTGCTGACAATATCAGACTGTGGACACAAAACTATCCCATCCTGGTAAAATTAAAACAGCTGGTGATGGGGGAAACAACATGGCCATCACAACCAGAACTGAAACCTTTGAACACAGCAAGACCAGATCACAATAGAGGATGGCATATCATTATGGGGAACAAGAGTGATTGTCCTGATCAAAGGTTGCTGCCAGATATTAGCTGAACTCCTCCAGGGGTTTCCAAAATTATATTGGTGAGAAGATGTGTGGTGGCCAGGATTGGATGCCAACATAGCCATGTTGGTGGGGCAGTGCCCAGAGTTTTAACAAGGACAAAACTTACTGCCAGCAGCTCCCCAACATTCATGGGGATGGCTGGGTAAAGCCTGGACTCGGTTATGCATTAACTATGCTGGTCCTTTCATGGGGCTGTATGTTTTTAGTCAGTGGACACCCATTTAAAGTCTTTGGTCTTGCATAGAGTTTATTCATCAGACACAGGGTCAATGATTAAAAAGTTGTGAGCATCTTTTGCAATACAACAACTCCTGGAGATGTTGGTCACAGACAACAGACCATCATTTATCAGTAGGGAATTTGAGTATTTCCTAAAGTCGAATGACATTCAGCATGTAAGGACAGCTCCATACCATCCATCATCTAATGGTCTGGCAGAATGTGCAGTCCAAACTTTGAAGGCAGGCTTAAAGAAACAGCCTACAGCTTCACTCATACCAAACTGTCACAGTTCCTGTTTAATTATAGGGCCACCTATAGGGTGATCGGTGGCAAATGGAATTTCATTCTGGCTAAGTGTGAGGTAACGCACCTGGCCATGACAAACAAGGCGAGGGAATACATGAACTGTAGGACCCTGTGAAGCACTGAGGGTCAGAGGGACTTGGTGTGCATGATAAACATTCCCTTAAGGTAATAAACTGGTTAAGAAGGCATACAGGATACTCGCCTTTAGTCAAGGCATAGAATTTAAGGGCAGGGAGGGTATGTTGGAACTGTGCAAAACATTGGTTAGGCCATAGCTAGAGTATTGTGTGCCGTTCTATAATCCACAATATAGGAGGGATATGATTGTACTGGAGAACATGCAGAGAAGATTGCTCAGGATTTGCCTGAGCTTAAGTTTTTAGTTATGGGTTGGGTTTAGTTATAATATTTATGGAAGCTTGGAGACGGCAAAGGACAACATTAGAGTCTGGAGGTCAGAAACTGCACTGCAAATTTCTTCTTCACACAAACTACATTTCTAATTTTTCATGTGCACAGGCCTGAGGTCTGTGCGCAGCAACAACTTCCAGAACCTGAAGTCAATGCATCTGTGCACAAATCAGCATGAATGGACTGAGTGGCTGCACGGTCATGTGGCTGCACAGCTTAGAGGGAATGTTGCTCATGAATGCCAAATTGAAGGACAGTATTGAAACAGAAATTTGAAATGATATCATTTCATTTGTGAAACTTGACATGACAGTGAATTAATGTTAAGTTTAAATTGTTTCATGCATTTTACCAGCTGAAAGCACAGATATATTACACCAAACACTCCAGTGTCACTACAGGCAGGGGAAACAAGACAACTGCAAGTAAGAATTTACATGTAGCACAACTGCTAGTATTGGACTTGCATTTCATGGTAGGCATATTAATGTAAATATTTTCCTTGCACTTCTTTTTCTTTGTTCACAGCATGCATGTATCACTGGTTGGTACATTATTGCCTGCTCCTAATTTCCCTTGAGCAGGTGGTAAACAATATGGATGAACCAATGCAACCCTTGGGGTATAGGTACACCTGCAGTGCTGTCAGGAAGAGAGTTCAGGAAATTGACTAGTGACAGTGGACAATTGATATGTATTTCCAAGTCAGGATTGTGTGTAGCTTGGACAGGAACTTGCAGGTGGTGGTGATCCCATGTATCTGCTGCCTTGTCCCTCTAAATGGTAATGGTTATTTGTTTGGCAGGTAATGTCTAAGGAATTCTCTAAGGGTGAAGATTGTAGTTCACCAAGGCTCCTTCAACACATGCACGCTCATCCAGGAAAGTTGAAACAACTCCATCCTCCTGTCATATACCTTGTAGATGGTGGATAGGCTTTAGGAATACAGAAAATATACCTATTCACAGCCTCTGACCAATTCTTGTACCCACAGTTTTAGGAAACAATTCTAAAGGTCCAGTTTAAAAAGTCCATTTAGAGCATGGACATTAAGTGTTGAAAGTACATGAAAACCACAGAAAACAAAGTTGTAAATTTGGCAAAATGATGCCAGGAGTGAAAAATATAGAGCTGATTAAAAAACTGGCTTTATGGAATAAAATAAATTTGAAATGAGGTGTTACGACAGGGTCTAAAATTTCCATACATGGACAATAAAAGAAATGAAGAGAAACTCGAAATTGCAAGAACAAAAATAATTCTAGAAAGTGACATCTAGAAAAGACAATATCAGCATTTTGGCCATTTGCTTGGAAATGAAAATCTACAGAGTTCTCTTCTAGAAGGTGTGATATTACAAACTTCAGAACTTTAACAACTTTTCATAGGTTGAAAAAAGCAGCAATAACTGTCTGGAATAAACTCTTAAGGGACAAAGGCAAACAATTGAAAATGATTAGCCATATCTGAGGGAAAAAAAGGAGTCAAGGCTACATGGACAAAACTGTTTTGACACCTGCTTGATAACTGGCTGCCTTAAGCCACAAGGATAACTGATTGCCCTGCAGAAGACCATAAGCAGTTAGCTGCACGAAACCTGTGTTTTCAAACCGTCAATGCCAAATGTAATGGGGAACAATCCTACTTCTGATAAAAAGGCAAGCTGCAGACTTGCAATAGTTTGGACGAAAATATCTAAAAGATCAATGTCATCCCATAGACCTGAAGGACAAACTGTACAACAATCCAACATCAGAACTCTTCTTCAGCAGAACTTTGAAGAACAACATTGCATAAGGATCAAGTCCTGAACATCAGAGACCGACAATGTTGGTTGGAATCATGGCTAAATTCCACCATTAATTGGGCAATGGTCAAGTTGAGTTGTGAGGCTTAACTAGCTTGCTTGAAGGGTCTTATGTTGGTTGCTACATGCAATAAAGTTTAAATCATTGTTTCCGTACTTGACTGTCTGAGATTTCATAATACATAGCTGGCTTAAAGGTAACTCATGGTAAATTACACACGACCAAGGGCAAATTGCAGGGCAGCAGAAAAAAGCATAGTTTTACTGCAACTAATTTTATAGAATCCCTACAGTGTGGAAACAGGCCCCTCGGCCCAACAAGCCCACACCAACACTTGGAGCATCCCACCCAGACCCATCCCTCTATAACCTACACATCCTTGACCACTATGGGAATTTAGCGTGGCCAATCCACCTAACCTACACATCTTTGGACTGTAGGAGGAAACCAGAGTAAACCCATGCAGACACAGGGAGAATGTGCAAACTCTACACAGTCAGTCATCCGAGGGCAGAATTGAACCCAAGTCCCTGGTACTGTGAGGCAGCATACTAACCACTGAGCCACTGTGCCACCACAAGAAGAGCCTGCATTCCCTGAACTGGATATGTGAGGATGAAAC